ATTTCTATAGAAGATCGACAGACTATTCTCATTCTAAGACGATGACAGTCTGAAAACAACAATACTATGTAATAGTGAATACCATACTTTGTAACCCCAATTTGAGTCGAATCGAATCGAATTACAATTTTTAAAAGGCCAGAAAACCCGAATCGAATCGAATGGCACTTTTGTCATCGGTTTCGGTCTCTGGTGTGGGTGGATGTGGGTGTGGGTGTGGGTGTGAGTGTGGGTGTGAGTGTGAGTGTGGAAGGATGTGAGCCCGTACTAATCAAGCCCTCACCCTCACCCGCACTTATATTGTGAATTTAAGCTGACTTTGTACAGCTACACCCACAAAGATGATGGACGTTCGGACAAACATTCCTGTCTAGACATCAAGATGAATATTCATTTTTACCTATTTCAGGCAAATCGAAAATTATATAAAAAATACAAAAATTTTAATTTGCCCTAGGGGAATTTTAAATTGCCCCGGATTTTAATTTCCCCTCCAACATATACACTGACTGGTCAATACTGTCTTGTTTTCTTCAGTATATTTTATGCGATCCCTTTTTTTCTAAAAGTTGACATTTAATTATGTAGATCTTGTTCATCATTTGTTATTTTTATTGCAGATATTATCGTGAAAATGATAATAATTTTATTGAAACATCCATGAAAAATTAAAACTCCTCGTTTTCTTCCTGCAGTTAAATCAAAACAATTTTGTTTCACATCGTTGCCCATGAACTCAAACAATTGTACTACTAATGTTGTGAGTCACACCAAAATTTAATTATCGTCATCCGATGTGAGCATATCGTCAATTAAGTCATTACCATCGTCATCTTCTTGTTCTTCTTCATCTTGGTCTTCGTCGTTTTCATTCTTAATTTAGAAAAAAAAAATTCCAAAAAACTATTGTATGTTTTCTATTAGCCTACTGATATTGATTCATCTTCAGCTGTGGTTTGTCTACTAAGTCGAGAAACAAGTGGTGCAATATTTTTAAATGATACATGATTAGCATCGATTTGCATATCAGGATTAGTAAACAATGATCGAAATCGTGAGTCTTTGAGAATAGTTAGACTTTCCTATAAAAAAAAACAGAATTCGATGTTGTAAATAGAAATTGTGTTCATTAACAAAGCAAAACAAAAACTTACTTTAGTATCAGCAGCTTTTTGTTTCTTTTTTTTGTTAACAATAAAATCACCTTCATCGTGCAGTAGTTTTTCAGCAAGTTCTTTATTAACCGTTGGTACAATCTATTAACGGCGGATATTAATTCAAACGAGTTTAATTTTAAATATTTACCGGTAATGGTACACGACTTTTTTCTCGTTTAAGATCAATTTTTGCACGTAATTTTTGTTTTCGATATTCAGCAAATGCAAATGGTTCCGCAACACTTTTAGCCTTTGAAATAAAAATTGAATGAAAAAATAATGAATATCGATATAAATAATTTACTTGATTATAAAGTCGAATATCCATGAAATAACCATGCATATAGGCTCGAAGAAGATCGGAACCAATTAAATGAGATAAACCAAGTGTATCGAGTTCTTTCAACGTTAAAAATTTATAATCATCGTACACTAAAGAAGAAAAATAAATCCAGATAAAACCCATGGATAGAATCGATCTAAAATCAAACCCGTATCTGCTGGTTTTTCTTCGAGCTCTTCTGTAATATTATCGAGAAATGTACACCATTTAGGTGCATTACCCAATGTCTAGAAAGGAATATATTATATGTAAAAAAGATTGATTAAAGGTTGTTTTTTTTTGAACATACGGGAATGTAATAAACAAATATTTTCGGTGAATCATTGGTTAGACATATTAGACCACTGCCAGGTATATTGAGCATATCATTGAGTGGTGTTGCTGGTTCAATTGACGTTAGATTTTTACCCTAAATGGTTATATATATATATATATATAGATTGAATAGATGTCGTTCAATTAAAACAATTTTGAAGAAGTAATAACAGTTGACAGACGTAATTCTTGATTATTTAATGTGTTTTCTGTGTTGATTACTAATTCGCTTCTATTTTTAAATTTATCAACAGTCATAGTCACTCTTTTTTCTTTTTTTTATCAAACCAGTAGGAAAATGTGGGAAGACGGCAAAACCACACAAAGGGAGAATCCGGAATTTTCATTCGACTAATGAAATTTAATCGAATCCTTTAAAATTCTTCTATTTACCGTATGTCGATTCCATATTTTACATATTTTCTTATCGATTGATAGAACATAATCATCATTGAGTGTATGAAAATCAATACGTTTTATCGGTAGATTATAATTGTGATCTTTTATAAAGTATGGTTTATTTGAACGAATATCAAACATTAATATCTTGAAAAGGAAAAAAATGAACGAAATATAAATTCTAAGAAGAAACCAATCTTCTTACCTGACCAGTACTAGTGCCGACAGCTATATTGAGTGCATCTTTGAATTTAATACATGATACAGCCGGTAAACTAAAACTAAGAATAATTGAATTCGATGATTTTCATCAATGAAGGCAATATACCTGTTACCGCTATTACTATTTGCATAGACAGCACAATCAATGTTTCCAACAAGTGATCGTACACGAGGATCATAACATTCTAAATGACCCTATATGAGAAGAAAAAGAGATTCAATAATTCGTACGAAGGAAAAATTAATTTTTTACTTCAACAGAACCACAAGCAAATAGTTCGTGTTCAGGATTGAATTCACAAGCATTAAAACCGCTAGAAACAAAATTAAGAATGATTTAGAAACATTGGATACTTTAATTTGAATGATTGTTATAGGAGACTATATGTATTACATGAAAATGCCGTCTTCTTAATGTAGAAAAAACCTGCTCTTGTTGATAGTCATATGTAGAGATGAAGCAAGAAGAAGGATTGGATCAGACTTTTTTTATCGACCATATTGAATATATTTAATCTTAGAAATTAATCGACAACAGCTGAATACATGCCGCAGTGTAATCAATTGTTGATAATCCGTTACATCATACATTGATAGCAATTGGATGATGATTAGTTGATCAATGACATATCTATGAACAAGAGAATGGTTTATATCAAGTTTTATATCGAGTTTGAAAATGGATGCTTCTCAAAAAGAATCAAGATATATTGATATTTTGCATGTTAAATATCAAAGTAATCTTTCAAGATAAATCAATGTGATTCATACAATAAATTCATTTGATCTCTACTTATTCGATTTGATTTGTATTACTAATATTGATTAAATGCATATATCTATATAAAGCGACAAGAATTGTTGCATTATGTACTTAAAAGTCAAATATTGTTTTCTCGCTCGTTAGGTGATTAAGAATCATTGCTAATAAAGACAAATGTTGTGTATACTGAATATATAGAGTAAAAGCCATCTAAAGATTTCAGCGTTTGAGCGACAAGCACCTCAGAGCATAAAATGCATGAGAAACGATTGTCTGTCTACATCTATAGGTACAGTTGCTACTCACTTTAGTTTTATCGGCGGAAATAACCAGTAAAGTGGTATCTAGGAGTATACATCTGAGGTTTCGCCGCGTAACTGGCGTACACGTCAAAATCAAAAGATCATCGAAAAAATAAACGACTATCAAGGATATTTTCTATGTTATGTGTTAATAGGTACTTTTGTCTTGTACATTCTCTTACAAAAAAGCTTTTCGAAATCTTCTCTTTCGATTACCGAAAAAAAGGATATTGTTCGATGCATTTTGAAGTATTTTCATAAGGTACAATTCATTTGTATATAGTTTGATGGAACTTGACGACCTAGGCATGAATATATACTTTTCCTTTTAACTGGGTCCCTCTCTCTATGGAAAGGTCCAAGAAACCGATAAGATTAGATATAGAACCAGATATCACTTTTTTCCTATTTTTCTCAATCTCTCTGAAAGTGTTTTATTTTAATTTAGCATCAAAAATTGATGAGAGAAAACGTATTTACTTAGTCGTTGTGCTTTAGTCTCATGCTAAACGATTTCTTTCAAAAATCATGATTTAATTTCATCGATTTTTTTTACTAACAGCTGAATTTTGTTGCCCTTTATTCGTTACAGTTGTGTATTTATTTCAATCAAACATTAATGTAAGGTCCATCCAATTCAAAATTAGAGCAAAATTTATTTTTTGTTTTTTAATACTTCATTCGNCTTCTTCGAGCCTATATGCATGGTTATTTCATGGATATTCGACTTTATAATCAAGTAAATTATTTATATCGATATTCATTATTTTTTCATTCAATTTTTATTTCAAAGGCTAAAAGTGTTGCGGAACCATTTGCATTTGCTGAATATCGAAAACAAAAATTACGTGCAAAAATTGATCTTAAACGAGAAAAAAGTCGTGTACCATTACCGGTAAATATTTAAAATTAAACTCGTTTGAATTAATATCCGCCGTTAATAGATTGTACCAACGGTTAATAAAGAACTCGCTGAAAAACTACTGCACGATGAAGGTGATTTTATTACTAACAAAAAAACGAATCGAAAAGTTGGTGATACTGAAGTAAATATTTTATCTGTTGATAATCTGCAATGCGGCTTTGGTTCTTTTTTCTTTTATAGAGAACCCTGTCGATTCTTAAGGATCCTCGGTTTCGATCATTATTCGCTAATCCTGATATGCAGATCGATGTTAACCGTCTGTTACGATGATGTCGTTACCTGACACTGTCAGATGTTATCCTACATCATAGTAACTATATGACTGTTTTCTGTTATCGTTTCTCTTCTCCAAATAAACATGCTACTATTTTAGTAGAGGACATTTTGTTTTCTTGTTAAATAAAGTTATCGTGCAAGTGTACGCACATAAATATATATGCAAGTCTAACCCTAATACTTGGCGAATCTGTTAAAAAACAAGAACAATAAACATCATGAAAAATTAAATTATCATTTGATTCAATTGAGTTGAATTTATATTAAGCTGAGCCTCTTGCGAATAGAGACTCGTAAACTCATCGCGTCTCAAAGCGTCTACATAAAGAGAATTGAAATAAATTCCTTTCAGAGCCTTTTGATAAAAAAGTCTTGATCATTTTTGGAAAAACTTTTGAGTAAATCCTACATATAAAAAAAAATAAATTTTTCGCATATTTTCTACTAAATCTGAGGAAATAGATAGGAATCAAATCTGACTAAATTACTAATATTTTATAAGCATCGTCACATTTAATCAGAAATTCAAAAAAAGAATTTCGTATATTAATTTCATTCATTGCTGTCAGTTTTCTTTGCGTTTGTTTATTCTCTTATTTATCGTGACTGTTATGGCCGAACTGTTCCCCTTCGATCATAAGACGTAACAAACGAATAATAAACGCTCCTTTCTAGTAAACAAATTTTTTATCTACAACATGGAATTATTTTTTTTATAGGAATGCCTAACTATTCTCAAAGACTCACGATTTCGATCATTGTTTAATAATCATGACATGCAAATCGATGTTGATCATGAATCATTTAAAAATATTGTTCCCCTCGTTTCTTGACTTAGTGGACAAACCCCGGTAGGCGAGCAAAAAAATCTTAAATTGCTCTTTTGCTAATTTGTTTTTCTTTTAAATCAAGAATGAAAATGATTCAGAAGATGATATTATCAGATCAGAGGAAGGAGATTGACATTAATTTTAATAAAAATTTATTAGTACAATTGTTTTTTTTTCCATAATGCGAAATAGAACCGCCTGGCCATGTTGGTCCTAACGGGACAGTGTAGCTTACAGTTAACAGTTTGCACAAAGAGAGGAGAGCAAGCATAGTAGAGCTAAGCACGGAATATAATGCATGTTCTATGTGGCCATTCAACGAAACATTGAAACACAACCTTCCAACGTGCACATATATTCCACCGAGATAATATACGATGCATCTAAACATATTGGTTGTACGATAAGATTAAAATCAATAGGCTTCTATAATGTGTTTTTCAGACCATGTACTTTGTTGGAGGAGGGAAGACAGGGGGGAATAGAGAGAGAAACAGAGGAGTGAGGAGCGGGCGATAGGGAAAAGAATAAAACTCTCATCCTCACTAGGCATGCACCGAACCCGGATAGTTCGACTTCAGTGTATGCCTAACCCTCACGCTGTAACCCCTCATCTACGCTGTGTCTTCACTTTTTCTCTCCCCTCATAATCATCCCCTTATACGTGTACATAGACATTTTGCTACAAACCCATTTTTTTTTAAGAAAGTAAATTTGGCGCAAATTCAAACTCTCCATCATATGCTCTAGTTCCGAGTCAGAGGCGTATCCTGTTCGACCAGGTTTCCCCCACAATTGTTTAAGTTTATAGACAACAATGTGAAGAAAAATTGTTTTGATATAACCGAAGCAGGGAAAAGTGGAGTGTTAATTTTTCATGGATGTTTCTATATCTGTATTATCATATTCAAGATAATATTTGAAATAAAATAACAAATGATGAAAAAGATCTATAATTAACTGTCAAACTCTACCATTCACCGACGAGAACGATGATAACTAATAACCCATGTTGCGAATACCCTATCATTTTTTGCGGTAAACCGCGGTATTTTTCCTTCCTGTGGTAAATTACATTGATATGGGAGCTGGTAATCGGACCGGTAAAATCGCGGTTAACCGCCGATTTTCATGCGGTGTTTATGACATGGGAATGTCGGGATTGATTTTTTTATCTTTGATAACAAGTCAATACCAGAGCAGACTGTTCTAAAAATATTCTTCTGTTCTCAAGGCATGAAAATTTTCCGATGAATCCATCTTCCAAAAATGTACAATCGAAATAAATCGATCACATACGTTTTTAGATTATACTTTGATTATTAAAAATTTATACAATATTTGGTGTAGCCTCTGGTCGAATGTTCTGAAGAGCGTGATTCTCAAATCAGATCAGAATTCGTTGAAAAATTAGTAGAAAAGATTCTTGACTCGAAATAGATTTTGTTCTTTCAACACCATCAACTTAATCTCTATGCAATCCTATAAAAAAATCCTCACCATTTTTTGTAATCTAAGAACATTTTGAACAAAAACTTATGTAATTTTTCTGAGAGTTATTATGGAATTTGATAGACAGTGAGATGCGGATATTTATTCTGCAGAAATAATCAAAAATGATGAAGCCTATAAAAACAAATTGTATCTTGGACATGCGAAATTCTTTATAATAAGCTTTCCAGAAATCTACTTTGCTTACGATTACAGTTTCTATAAAGAAGAATATTAATGAATGTTTGTGACATTTACTAAGCAAATAATTCTTTTCCTATTCGATATGTATCAAGGAATCCCATCATTTTACAACAGTTGATTTTTGTAGTGGTTAAATTCATCAGTCTCTAGTGACATCTATTCAACTTCAGTGCGATATTCAACAACACAATTCTATGATTGTTTATTTTTCTCTTATTCCAAAATAGTAATATCAAACGAGATTTAAATAGATTGTTTCATAATTGAAAATCAACTATAGAGGTGCACTCCCTATAGAATGGCGTTTAGAAGAAAGAAATTACAATAGAATAGACAAAACCGATAACAACCTTCGTTAATTTCCCGTACTGTTTTCATTCATTGATAAAGTTTATTTATTACTTACAGATTTTTACTTCTTTTTTTCATAACAATAAAGTAAAGAATCAATGAGTGAAACAGAAGTAGTTATATCTGGTAATACTACTGGTGTAAGTGGTGATACAGAAATTGACCTTTATGCTGATGTCGTTGAAAACGATCTTGAAACAGTATGTAATTTTGTTTTGTCAATAATCTGGTTCAATTTTTTTTCGATGAAATAGGGAACAGGCGATGATTATATGGTTAATGATGAGCATTTAGGGGATGATGCAGATTTATATAATCATGTTATTACAACACAATCATCGGTTACAGATTTTACGGATATAACAAACACAGTCAATCAACATCATGGTAAACTCGATCAATCAAATGGATCAACAACTGGTCGAAGTACACCATCGAGTAGTTATAATAGTAAACGCGTGTCACTCTATGTAGGACAATTAACTTGGGTATAGAATAGACATTAACTAAGTTTTGAATAATTGAAAAAGTATTGCTATTTTATTTTAGTGGACAACAGATGGTGATTTATATGATGCCATTCATGATTTAGGTGTAAATGATTTACTTGAAATCAAATTCAATGAAAATCGTGTCAATGGCCAATCAAAAGGGTACGCGGATTTTTTTTCTTTTAGATTCAAATAAATTCTTATGATTTTTTTAAAATGTAGATTTGCTATGGTTACTGTTGGTTCAGATGCATCTGCTCGAATTCTTTCAGAGAAAATGCCTAAACGAGAGTTACATGGTCAAAATCCAACAGTTTTACCTGGTAATAAACAATCATTAAGTTTTCTTGAAGGTGTTACCCGTAAAGATTCACCAATGGAATCAATGCCACCAATGGGTGCACCACAAAGTTAGTCTTTTTTGCATTGGTATAAATATTATCTAAAATATATCTCTAGTAGTACATCAGATGATGCGTCCACCCATCGGTCTTCCATTGCCTATGCCTCGTGGTGGTCCTATGGATGGACCCTATCGTTTTTCACACCAAGGACCTGTTCTTTTACCTGGCGGACCACCTGGTATGACTCGGCAACCAATGCCAATAGCACTTGGCCCACGTGGTCATATACCCGGCGGTCCTATGTTGCTTAGTCGAATGCCAGGTCCACATCCACCCGGTGTTCATCCACAGCAATCTGTACTTGTCATGCAACGACCTGGTGGGCCACCTGGCAACAATGGACCACCGCTTATTCGCCAATCGATGGCACCCGGAGCACCAGGTATATTTCCTCGACAAAAAAAAAAGAAACAAGCAATTCAATAATGTTCTTTTTCTTTCGTAGGTATTCCAGTATCTTCAAATTCAATGAATGTTATGCAGGGTCAACATCCACCCTCAGGTTATTACCCAAGTCAACCAGGTCAAGGCGTACGTTTGTTTTCTTTTTTAGAAAATTTTCTTGATGCTATTTTTTTGTATTCTAGCCTCCACATGGTGTTCCACATCCCGGTCAACCACATCCTGATCCATACTATCGTGGTGTTGATAGTCGACCTGATCCAGGAAGTATGGTTCCGATTAGCGAAGCAGAATTTCAAGACATCATGGATCGTAATAAAACAGTATCCAGTAGTGCGATTGCTCGAGCTGTTCAAGATGCATCTTCCGGTTCGTATACAGTTTTAGAATTGTCTATTAATTAAACTCATTGTTTCTTTTATTTTTATAAATCAGGTGATTTTGGTACGGCTATTGAAACGTTAGTAACAGCCATATCACTTATTAGACAATCGAAAATTTCAAATGATGATCGATGTAAGATTTTAATTAGTTCTCTACAAGATACACTTAAAGGTATCGAAGATAAATCATACGGACAAAGGTAGAATAAATAAATCGTTTTTTTTTGTTATTTGCCCATAAGAAATTTTTTTTAAAAATATCTAGAATACGTCATCGAAGTCGATCAGGATCACCGCGTGAATCATCTCGTAAGAAACATCGTCACCGTTCACGTAGCCCACGTGATCGTAATGAATATCGACGTACTGAGGATTACGATGGAAAATACAGTCGGGAGCATCGACGACGTTGAAAAACATAACAAATTCAAAATCCCGCTTTTTGATATTTCTGAAAGAACCAATTATGCGATCTGGTAAGCTGTTCAATTAGATTTTTTTACGTTTTTTTCAATTTGTGTTAATTTTTGAAATTTTATTTTTTTCTCTACGTTATGTGTGCGTGTGTCTGTTTTTTCTTTTCTCATCCTCCCCTCATGTCTGCTATATTTGAATTAAGTGCAATAATTTTGCGAAGATATATTCTCTAGTCATGATATAATTTACAGTCAAATATGTTTATTTTTTTTTTCATTCATCGTCATTTTGTTGTTTCTTAATGGCAAAGTCAAATAGTCTGTTATTTTTACTTTTTTTTCGCCCTTGGAATACATATCATTGTTTATATATATATACATATATTAAGTTATGTTTTTTTATATATATATATTGACGTTATTCTCGTAATGAATTGAGCTATTCTCACTATGCTATGCAATTGCATGGTTTTGAAATTTTTGTTCTTTTTTTTTTACTTTTTGTCCCAAATATTTCGAACAATATAGTATTTCGATCAATGTACAAAGATAGATAATTTTCTAAATGATGAATAAATAGTAAAATTTATTTGATATGATGATGTTAATGATCATTATCGGACAATGGAAAGTTGGCACTATAAAAGAAATGATCCCTTTGAGAAACAGACGAGCACGATTCAAGCGATAGTTCTTGTAAATCGTTAAAAATGCATACACACAGTAAGTGTTACATTTGGAGCAAGAAATATATATATAGAATAAAAAAATAATGATAATTCTCTTTAGTATATCTCGTTTTTTGTTTTCTTTTTGTTTCAGGCCGATGCTTCGAGTCAAACGTGGCCAACCGTCGTTATATCTCTTCGTCTTTTTTTCTTTTTGTCGCTGTTCTGCTTTAATGTACAAACTTTTCTTTTGTTTGTCTATTCTTGTTTCTATATTGCACTATTGATTTTGTTGTTTCATGTTTTCTACGTGTGCGTTTGTGTGCGAATATGAAGAAAAAAGAAAATTGAAATACTTTAATCTCATTTCTGGTTTGCATGTTGAATGAGTATAGTGTCAATAAAAAAAACCTGTTAGATTAAATTATCGCTGCGAAATAAAAATCTTGAAAATAAACTAACAACAAAATTTGTATATGCGAAACATAAGAGATTGATTTTTCGACATTCATAAAAACGGCTGATAAGAGCAATAAAATCCCGTTAAAAATCTATTAGATCCTGCATTCTGAAATTTTGAACTGGAAGCACGTATTATATCATAGAGTGTCTCACGGGATATCGTGGTTTCTATCGAAGTATACAATCATCTTATTTTCCGATGTAAACAATCTGATATAGTCAAAATTACGAATGATATACTCAAAGATATAGTATGAAAAAGAAATATATTGAGATTCCCGAGAGTCACACTCTCGCTTTTGAAAAAGTAATGATAAATTTACTAGATACTATTTGTTTTCGCCAAAGATCATGCTGCCAGCATTTGACATGCATCAGATTTATTACTCAAAGAGATTAAGATTAGTATTTAAAGCATACTTGTCAAATGTGATTGACATCTTTTTTATTAAGATCATAATTTATTTATTCAAAGGATTACCAAGACTTGCCTACACAATAAAGAGCGATATCATGAATGTGTTGCTTGTAAATAATTATATGAAATAGTACGTCACTTCTCGTATGCTTACAGCTTCAGAAATAATTCTGGTTCTAGAAGCGTAGATGATTTCAAACTCAACAACAGCTGCAGCTTAATAATTAAAGAATATTCAATGCGTAAGTCTTACGAGATTTCTCATCGATTTTTGCCTCACTGCATGGCTAGAAACTCACTGTGAGTGTCAACCGGTAGATTAAAATTGTTTGCCTTCAAGAAACTCTGAATAGAAAACAAATTATTTTAAGATGCGTTACGAACTCCATGCACAAGTGATTATATTTAATGTATTTACACATGTATAGAACAAAATTTACGATTAATGATAACATAAAATAAGTTCATGTTCATTATTCAAGTTTCGCTTGAAGCAGCCTTCGTTTTTGTCAAAGAGGAGCAATACGGGGTGCTATAAAGAATACATGATGTTGATGTTCACGTACGATCGTTTTTCTAAACCAACAACACCGAAGCAACGCCATCAGTTCTTCTCGAAAAACATGAGAAGTCGCAGCATAAACGACACACGCAGAGCCCGAATTGATAAAATTTAGAAAACCAAAATTTACAGATATAAGAGCTTCTAAACTTCTTGTGGTAGCTGATTTCGGCCTATAATAAGTAAAACCTATGTAAATATTCCATGCTGCAAGTGGCATAGTTAAGATAACAAATGACAAGACCTATATCATTCAACAGAGAAATTAGATTAAATGTTTTTCTTTGCACACTACCTGTACAATAAGCATTCGAAGAAGTTGTGCGTTTAGTGTTTTTTGTCGTTGATGTGTTTTAATAAATCCCCGATTTCTCTTCACGACAACAGCTACCGCTTTCTTTATTCGTCGGACATTCAATATTGTGAGACCAGCAACTATAATATAAAGTAAAGGTGTCATCAATGCATAGAAGATGACATAATAAAAATAGAAGAACAAAATATAATTAAACGAGGTAAAACTGCATAGACTAATTTGTATCCAATCGATGTAGACGAAAATATGAATATGCGAAATCAATGAAAAACATGGTAGCAGTATAAGAAACCATTTTGCTGCATCTATATGACTAAATCGACGTATGGTAGCTTTTGAATGTGTCGAACAATATCGGTCAATGCAAGCAAGAAGAATAAACCATGACGCTAGAAATAATGTTGAATAATACATGAACGGTATAAATTTACATAATCCTCGACTTGCTGATAAAAATGAAAATCCAAATCCACTAGCGATAATGAAATAGAGTAAACCAACGAATATACATATGGCATTACTGATGCTCGCGCCAAGTAAATAAAGTGAGCATGTATTCTTTCGTAATCTAGGTCGAGCAAGTACAAGAACACTTAATATATTGCTTGCCTCGCCGAACGCAAATGCAGCCAGCATTGGCCATCGTTGAAGTTCTACAGCCCATGCATCCATTGTTTGAGTTTTCATAAGAATGAGTAGAGCGAATTAGGGGGAAATATTTTCTTCTGCGCAAATTGACACCTGCATCAGCCAAATATTCAGGATAAACTTCCGGCATAGTAGCTATTAATGGCCTATCTTTTGCGTCATTTTAATATAAAAATAAGATCCAAACGCACGCAAATATAATATGAATGCGTAAAAGAAATAGCTTGAGTTCAAAATTACACACGATTCCTCAACGGAAATAGACAAAGATTATTTCAAGGTGCAAAAATTAGCAATCCAGAAATTTAAATTGTTGTACTATAGATGAATTTGTATGTCATTAGTTGATATTTATTCAGTGCGAAACAATTCATCAGTCGCTTCAAATCGTACTTTGCACACACTAATGGAACTCATTCATTTCGTGACGTGTTTTTTCTCTCTAGACATGAATAATAGTTCGAATAATACTATAAAAAACAACGATATCCTCTAATAGAATAACTTTTTTTTATTGAATATTATAAAAGAGACAATATCTATCATTCGCTTGATTTCTATTTTTTTCACAACGAATTTTCAAATTGTTTTACTCATAATGGTTTCTGGAAAATCATATCGAGCAATAGATTCTACGATAATATAAATTTTGTTTATCCCGGCACGATATCGATCAGATATAGCTAAACTGCAAAAAAATTGTCGAAGTCAAAAAGTACTCGAACGTGTGCATCATTTTAGATAGTTTTAGTTTTAGAATTATATAAGCGCGCTTATCTCATTTACTGATCTAACACATACAACTATTATTTGCACTTCAATTATATTATTATTATTATTATTATTAATTATTATTCTGGTAAAAATATGTATGAGTTCTTCTACTTGAGTTTATTCTATCAAGTAGCATTAGGTAAAAATTAATCTCGAACTATCGATTTTTTTAAACAATTTATATTTGTTAACAGCTTTAGTCTATAATGATCCATGCACTGACAAGTGTAATCTGCCCGGCATGATCTGTATGAATAATAAATGTAAATGCGATTCGAAAAATCGTCGTTTTTGGACAGGTGCTCGCTGTTCTTTTTGTCCGACTGATTGGTCAATGGCTGGTTAGTATTAATGAATTTTATTTTCGAATTCTAACATTGAAGAAATTCGTCTAAAGAAACAGCATGCATCGCGTACTATCATACGTCCATGACATGGCAAAATGCCGAAGCAACATGTCGAAACATGAACGCATCTTTGATTAGTATTCGCAATAAGAATATGTTTTCACTTATATACGATGCGTGTAGAAAGAAAGATGGCACCGGAGTCGACCAGTATCTCAAAGGATGGACAAGTGCTCATGGAACAAGTGTTTCCGGATGTGAGCAATAATTTTATTATTTAAAAAGAAAAGAAGACACATCTTTCAGACGACCTATAGAAGCTCGAAATAGAAAAAGATTACATTCTCGGATAGATAAACGATGTCGAAGCCTATGAATGGTACTAGTTTCGGCCAGTTATTAAAGAGAAATTTATTGGCTAGCTACCACATCCATGCTAACATAAAACTCGAATAATCATATTGACGAATTGGTTTACAGAAATTCAAAATTTGTTTTTATGCAAATGTATCATTCGGAGATTTTTTAGCCGGTGTGTACGAATGGCTTGATAAAAGTTTACCATCGTTCAATGATAAATCTGATTTGTGGTGTAAAAAGACTACAGCTAATTTGGGCTACGTTTATGTATATGATGAACCAACAAAATTAATTGGTGATGGTAGTGAAGTGGAATCATGTTCCGGTTTTTGGCGGGGTAGAACTAGTGTTTACGTAGTGTGTCTAGATGATCAGTTGTGTAGTAGACCGTATCCATTTATATGTGAAAAAAGTATGTAGATTTATTTTGTTTAAAATAATATTTGCTGTTTTCTTTTTGTTTAGCTGAATACACAGAAAATATTTTCGGGGGAGCTCCACGTATGTCTGTTTTCATTTTTTCGTGAGTTACAACTATGAATAGTTTCAGCTGTAGCAACTACTAAGTCGAACGAGTTACTTTGTATGTAAATTCTTTTTTAAATTTTAACATCAAGCATAAGTTCTTTTTTTCTAGCTGTGACAAGTCGCTATCTATTGGGTGCAACCCACTGTATGTTATATTGTTTCCTTTTGATTTTAAGCAATAAGCATGTGCTCTTATAATTGTAGCAAACAGTCAGTTCAATGAATCTCATAATAACGGAATTTCCACAACAGCAAATCCCAAAAGTAAGCTACTTTTTGTTTAATAAAAATTCAAATCTACCGTTTATTTTCTTATTTTTATTTGAAGAAAAATCGAGTGGCATCCTAATAATAGTAGGAATCGTTGTGTTAGTTTTATTGGCTCTTGTGGGTGGTATTTTGTATTTTCTTAAATTTCGCAATTCAACTGGAGCTCAAAAAAAACGTCAAACAAATGGTGGTGCCAGCAGAGAAGAATCCATTCGTTCTGATGAATATACAAATGAAGGTGAGCTCAATGTAGATAGACATCCGGCACCTGCACATCGTGATCTTACTACTATAGATGAAAAGAAGCCCAAACAAGACAAACGAGGTGGTTATTCTAAGCAACAATTCGACGAATTTGAATGAAATTTTGATTTGATATCTGTTCTGCTAAATTAATTTAGAATAAACAAAAATGTTTTACAACTTCTTACCAAAGGAATCTTCTATAGTAACTAAAGATATTTTGATTGAGAAGCATTCACAGGATAATTTTCGATGATCGAATAAATAAATCAAACTTTGGGAGTCTACGAAATAATTGGAGTATTCGTTCGCATGAGTAATAAAATATTTATTCAAACTATTGGCTAATTTAAAAATTCAGATATGTGATCATTCATCAATACATAAAAATATTCGGATTAAAATAATACGATAATAGAGACTATATAAAGTTAGTTAAACTTTTAGTTCTAGCGGATATCAAGAAAATTCAAGTTAAATGAAAACTAATTATCATTGATCACATCAAAAGACTGTATTTATTCTTATAATTTACTCAGTCAGTGTTACTGGTAAAGTTTCAAAACTTCCTAAATAAATTATAAAATCCCTCATTGCAATCCATTATGTGGCATACCGTAAATTAAACTATTGAAAAGCGACTAGATTTTATCACATATAATCAAAAATACCAAATCTCACCACTATTGTGTCTATAAATATTAATTTTGCGTTTCATAAGTACTATAAACTACCTGTCGAAATCAGTGAGGATAAAATAAATCGAGTGGACTGGTATCTCACTCAATATTCTTATGAAGCATGATTCTTTTCAACCGAATATTTCGTGGTACAGGTGTTCTAGAGAATTGAATGGCGGATCTTTCGCGAGAGAAGTTTCAAGTCCAGAGAAAGAAAAATAGAGAAACAGATTTAAGAAGTACCGAAATGCCCATTTATAATGTGCCATCCGTTATAATTCTTCCAGCAGAAAACAAACTGATTATCACTACAAAAGAACATTGAGGAATAATAAACTTGGCTTGTGTTTTTATAAAATTTTCTACTCCACTTCAACACGTTTTATACAATCGTACTATTCCATGTATAATACGATAATGGCTTGTTTTCTTTTTATTGCATCACTAATATTTGCATCGGTCTACGTCTATAATAATATTTCACACAAAAAAGAACGAGATCTATTGAGTTCTTTGCTCACAATAGTCATCATGTACTTTTATTGTTGAAACAAAAGACAAAAATTACAGAAAATACATACGTATAGATATTTATATCATTTATTTTCCTTTGATATTCAAACATTCGTCTGGTCGGAATCGTTTCTTAACACATACATTTGGTTTGCAACACGGCATCATGTTAAGTTTACATGTAACACAATCTGGATTATTAATTCGTTTTTCAAAATTATCATCATTCTCGTCCTGTAGAAGCATCCGAGCTTTAGCTTCAGTTAATGCCATATCATCCAGAGACTACATTTTGCCTTCACATGCTTATAGCATAACAATAATAGCGAAACAACTAAATATAATTAATGACTTCGTCTGCATCTTACCAAAAAATGATATAATATAAAATTGAAGTTAAGAAATAGGGTAATACACCTTGATCAAATTTCACTTGTATTCAATACATGTAATATGTGGCTATTTATATGTTTTCTTTCTGATCTTGTATTTACGTTTGAATACTTATGAATTATATACATTTTACATCTAATAAAGCATATCATTGTTGAGTAAATGGCAATTATTTATGTGAACTTTGCAAATATTTTCTATCAACGTTTTTCATACTATTAGTTTACAGGAATATAATAGTTAAATAATAAAAGAAGAACCTTGCTATAACTTATTTTAACGGATATATCGATATAGGTATATATGATGAAAAGTTTAAATGGTTCTTATACCGTCTCTGATTCATAATACAAATCAATTATGGTACTCTAAAAAATATGGCACCTAGATGATGTAGAGTAAGCATAAAGCCGATAAAAAATATATATCGTACTTTTTTGTGTTGGAGTCCCTATGAAAAGAATTTCAATCGTTCGTTTAGTAGACAATTCAGGATCATGCGAAAATAAAATTTGAAGATAAGGTTGCGATGTGAATGAGGAAAAGCATACACAATCACAACTCGCTACAACCTTCAAAACTAATAAGATGGAGTTTAACATCGATTGTTACAATATATGTATATGCATCACACGCTGCTTTTCCATGATTCTTTCATATGATTCTCGGTGAATATTTTGTCTTAATCCTAGATACCTATGTGTGTTAGATATTCAAGTTTATTCAATATTCAAACATACACGCAGAAAATGACTTTCAACTAAAGCGTTATTTCTCTTGCTTTATTTTTCATAGTTGACATCGACAAAAAAAATAAAAGTTCATCTATTTTCGTTCGATTATCCGAACTTCACCACTGCTTTTATTGGTTTGTCTACCAGTAACAAAGTCAAGTTCGTATTCTTCAGGTCGACCGGGAAATCGAATAATAACCGAGCTTTCTCCAATACCAGACCAATACGCTTGAAAAGCAGTTTCGATTGTCTGCTGAATCATGGATTCGTACGCCGTCCATACATGATGCTGATTACGAAAAAACCAGTTTCGTGAAGTTTCAATTTGTGACTGCTCCAGATGTCGGCGTTCTAATCGTCGGCGGAATCCTGTTTGAGTATTTTTTTGTGTGTTTTTCACAAAGTCGATATCATATGTTTGTGGCATGTCGTCAATGTAGCGAATCAACGGCGGTGTCGTCACACTAGATGGTCCTTTTCCACGTTTCCAATTTTCATAGTATTGTTCCAACATACTATTTATTACATCATTGTACGGTTCGAAGGTTTCACCCTTTTGCCACCAAAACCAACGAAAAGGTGACTGCCAAGTACTTTTAGTAGGAAGTTGGTCAATAGGCGTGGGAGTCACATCTGGGAAAGGCGAGGCATGATCTTCAGAACTATTCTTCCCATATGTCAAAACAGCTACTGGTAGATTGAAAGCAGCTGACCAATCAATAGGATTATTGACGACATAACAAAAGCCAGGTCTCATTTGTACTCTATCAGTCTGTAGGATAAAAGCGATTATCATTCTTAGATTGGAAACTGATGGCTCGCTTTTCTGACTGTAGCCATGTGAAATAGCAGCTGTAACTCCGAAATATTCACCAATGCCATACGCTTGCCCACGACGACGAGATGGATCAAATCCTGCCTTACATATAGATTCAATTGCATCTATTGAAGTGCCATGAAAGGCAAAAAATCCTCGACCAAGGTCAAGCGGTGGACGACTTCCGATCAACTCAACACCTTTGTAAAATCGACTAAAAGACTCACAACCTTTTCCCAATAAATACGGATTCTTGTCGAAACGAACGATAGGTGGTAGATCTACTGGCCAGTTGTTTGTAGTAAACTCTTCGGCTGCTTTGAAAAGTTGTGGCAGAAATTCGCCTAATTTTTCGTGAGCTTCGTTTCGTTCGGCACAATTACGGCCTTCGTGAAGTTCATCGTCAATCAAACGACATAATCCGCAGACGCCTTGTCCACATGTCAAACATGTTTGGTAGCCGTGACTACGAATAATTAGACCTTTACAATCATTATTTGGGCAGAAAAGCTGATCGTTATCTGTGGGATTTGTGGACGTTAGCAAATAGTTTTGGATTGATTTTTTACATAATTGTATGAAGTCTGCACGATTATTACTAAACATTTCTTGCACATCTTGAATATGAATTGTGTAGTTACAAGTGAGACATTTAAGAGGAATCTCGTGTAACATGTTTACAGCACATCGGCAATATGCATGACCACAAATGCGAAATGTACGCGTAGCAACCATAAGTCGTCGACAAAAAGCACATTCACGTGCAAAATCTTTTTGTTGTCCATCATCCCTATCATTTACGGCTAACTTTTCTAATAATAATTTTACTTCACTCTCACATGCATTTAACATTTCTTTAGTTACTTTAAGTTGTGCATAAAGAATAATGCAACTTGTTCTACGGTCCAAGGTCACACTGCATCCTTTCGGCACCCACACAGAATTAATTTCTTGTAGTTGAGTATCTGCAGCTTTTTGACGACCGAAAAAACCGATAATCGCAGCATTAAGATCAAGAAGACGATATCGATCATTGAAATCATCAGAATAATCAGCAATACGACGCATAAACTGACCTTGTTCAACTTGAGGACCACGAATTTCAATGACAGCTCCATATTTATCCTTCTTCTCGCATAACAATTTCAGTTCACTGGCCCACTTTTGAATGAGATTCTCGTCAAATAGTTCTTTAAATAAACATTTTTGTCGATCATCCATTAATTTGATAATGATCGGCGACGTTTCTTGACTTAAGATTGAAGCGGCCAAAGCAGTGGTCGTTGGGCTAGCATCTGTAAAGATGCAACGAATGGCTTTTGAATAATTGCTTTTCGTTGGGAGAGCTATTTTTTCAACTTTCGTATGAAAACGAGTACAAATACTTTGCAGCAATTCCTCAAAATTTGGGTACAATTCAACGTATGTTACTGTCACACTAGCTGAACTATTGATTGTCCAATTCTGGCTTGACTCTGAGTAAATATCTAATGCTACTCGACGACTGGTTGCAGTTATCAAAAATGTTTGTGGTTCCATTTTGACTGCTTGCATGGTAGGATCTGCATTAATATTGACGCAAGCTTGAGTTCTTTTCGAGCGAATCGTTATTGTATGTGACTTTAACAAGGAACTCTTTCGTAGACGAGAAATCGCTTGAACATATTGTTCTTTTGTTTCGAAATAGATCCGCGCCGACGAACTACCAATATTAGGATTAGTTTTATCCGAATAAAGCATATTGATACGTGCCGGGACCAGGTCATTTCCCAACGCCTTCTGAATCTTTGTCTGATCGATATGTACTGGCATATTCGTCAATTGTAAACCAGGTAATATATTTCTGCCTATTTGCTTACAGTTGACAATTTTTCCAGGAAGAAGATTTTTCATTTGCTCCGCTGAGACAAATACATTTTCTTTCGTTCTGAGCAGTAATTGACGACCCCATGCATCTTTTTCGTTTATGTTTACGGTATTCGATGCATCTTTTCGTTCAGTATAGGCATTGATGGATGGAAGATGAGATAAAGCTCGTTTGAATACTTCATCTGAGTTGAAAATAACAAAAAAAGGAGGAGATTTGTAACTCTCTTCATTCTTCATAGGTTCTTTACAAGGTTGAAAATTATTCTCACGAATATCTTTTCGATGTACACATAGTTTATGAGAAAACCATTCATATAGTTCATCGAAGTTTTTACAAGGAACGCAATGCAGATCAAGCCGATTTTTTATATTATTACTACTGGCATACTTATTTTCAGTCTGCAAACAATGAAGACCACTTTCGAATGATGCCTGAATGGGACCACAATCGATGGAACGAGTTCGAGATAAAAGAAAATGAAGAGCGTTCTGAACGATAGGTGTGAGTATACTTTTGATCGAATCTTTCATGCTTTCTTCACTCCATATGATGAGCTTGCATAAACGACTATCATACTCTAATATTAGCCATGTTTTCCAAGATTCAGTTTTTAAGGTATTCATTTCTTTGCGGATTTCAGTATTCCATTCCCAACCAACGTGATTAACTGTGAACAAGTTTGTTATGACTTTCATATCAGCTGTTTTGGGTGGAGTCACTGGATGAAGTAGTTCAATTATATGTGCCCCTGTAGGTAACTGTGTGATTGACATGGCAACAAAATGAACGCTTTCAAGGTGTCGCTGCACAAATACACTAGTGGCGGTTATACGTGCACGAAAATCGTTTACTACCATACAGACACCTTCATTGGGTAGATGTGACACCAGAAGATGGCCATATTGTTCAGGAAAGTTTTTAAAAAGATGTGTACCGATGATATTAGTTTGATCTGCATCTATTAAATTACCAGGATTGAGTTGCCAACGTTTATTTTTTATTATGCTGATTGAAGTATCACTTGCACTTTCAATAACAGTGAGAACTTTATTGTTCAATGTATTTTCAACACTGTAGACTGCTCGACATGATCGGCATGAATTACTTCTCTTAATTAACTTTTGACATTTGACGCACAAGTGTGTGTTAGAATCGACTATGCCAACGGTTTTCCACTTTTCGTATACTGAGACTAAATACAACAAATCACTTTGATATTCCTGAGCACCTAGAGCGATTCTGCCCTTGGCTGCTTCTTTTGCCTCTTTTGTTGCACCACCCATAAAGAACAATGAACCAGGTGCTGTTAAAATAGCGACGATCACTGCTGTGGCATTAAGAATTGGGTCATGTTCTATGTAAGTATCGACCAGAAAAGCGCTTAAGCGAGGATCTAGGCCAAGATCGGCAAATAGTTCACCTCTTAGAGTGATACGATCATCTTTGTCAATACATGCAAGATCTTTCAAAAGCGTTAATGATTTTTCGAGAGCTTCTGTACCACATGAAGGTAGATCCATAAAAGGAAAGTTTTTAGGCTTGAACTGCAACCGGACAAGTTGCAAGACGGCCATATCTAGTGAAGATCGAAGAATTTCCGGTTGAATATTGGGACGGACTAACTCATCATCTCGATAAAGGCGAATACAATGTCCAGGCGCTGTTCGGCCTGCTCGACCTTTACGTTGATCGGCAGACGAACGGGATATTCTCACTGTTTCGATAACAGTAAGACGACGCTTAGTATCGAAGCGAGCTTCCTTGGCTAATCCAGAATCAATCACAAGACGAGTATTATTTATAGTTAGTGATGTTTCAGCGACATTCGTACAGAAGACGACCATTCGGCGCTCGCCATCAAGTCCTTCGTCGAATTGAAGTACTCTGTCTTGTTCTTCAGGTGAGAGAGATCCATACAATGGCAACGCCACACAATTATCTGGTATAACAAGACTAAAACGTTCAAGAGCTCGTTCAATTTCTCGTTGCCCAGGAAGAAATACTAGCGAATGACCCTGATATTTATCGTATGACTGCAGTAAAGCCGACACAGCATGTTCTCCTTCAGTCAAATCATCGGGTTTCGGAAGAGAGTCTACACTAATATCATAGACACGACCTGGAACGTCGAGTACTTGATCAGGGCTTCGTTTAAAATAGTCAAGAAATTTACTCGGGTCAATAGTAGCTGAAGCAATAACGACGTAGAAATCTGTCGTGCGCGCGCTAAGTAAAATTTTTGCTAGACCAATGACAATATCGGTATTTAGAGAGCGCTCATGTGCTTCATCAATTATCAAGACTTTGATATTACTCAACTGTCGATCTTCTTGGCTTTCATGAATGAGAGCCGAATCTGTCATGAATATAATATCTGTGCCAGGTACCTGACTTTGGTTTTTGCCAATACTAGTACGACCAACTCGATATCCAACTGATTTACCCACTGATATTCCATCATATTCATTGGCTACACGGCGCGCTAGAGATACTGCTGCAACTACTCGTGGCTGAGTACATACGACGAGTCCACCAAAATATTCAGCAGCATATTGCGGTAGTTGCGTACTTTTACCACTACCAGTAGCGGCTCGTACTACCAATAACCGTTCTGCTTTTAATCGTCGACAAAATTCGTCTTTTGCAGCAAGAATGGGCAATTGTGTCTGCTCTCTTTCAATATTACGTTGTTCGATAGATTTCAATCGTGGGTATGATTGCTTTTGGTTTTTTTCACTAGTTGTATTTTGCTGTAGGTAAAACCTCCAGTCTCCTGGATGAATTGCATGTGAACAAGTGGGATTTTTACACTCAATACCTTGTTCGCACAGATCCCAATCGACAGGATGCAAACGATCACAGTAGAAGTTATTACAAGCAACACCTCTGTCACATCTCATGACACGGCTCGACGGATGATCGAATTGGCATATGAACTCAATGCATTCGCTACCATTCGGGCATAATTGTCTTTCTAACGGGTGCAAACATAAGCATGCCGAGTTATAGCAATACTTTCCAAAGAAGCACGCTTTAGGGCGGCCATACGGGTGCAAAGCTTTGCAATCCCAAACGCTACATTGGTCACCATCTACACATTGATTCATGCGTGTTAGTGGATGTAAGAGCTCACAAGTGAAATCTTTGCAATCGTTTCCATTAAAGCATGTTGTTTTTCGTCCTTCAGGATCAGTAGCCTTGCATTCAAATTCTTCACAGCCTACATCATTATCGCATATCTGCCATTCCGCTGGATGATTACAATTACAAGACGGATCGGAACAGTCTATTCCATTTCGACAAACAGGTTCTCGAGAGGACCATGAGGCATCTCGGACTCTTGAACGGGATCGATTATATGTATCACGTGACTTAGATACTATTACGTCTATAAAACTTTGAGACGTAGCTGAAGATGCACCAGGATTATTGTGCATGTTTGATGGACTATCAGTGACATTGTAGCGAGTTATTCTTGAACTGTGACTAGCAAACTGTGGTTTTTCATCGGTATCACTATCATCTCTTGTATCGGATATCATCGAACTCATAATACCTTTAAAAAAGAGAAAAACCATATACTCTATTATATTTATCCTGAATTAAAAGGATGCTTGCTAATGAAAAGGGAACAAATCAATTAGTTAGCACTGAAGCCAGCAAAGCTTCGAAAAAAGGCGCTGATTTTTATATTTTGATGCTACTTAGAACTTTCAGTGAGCTGGTCAAGATTAATGAAATATTAACAAAAGACTGTAATTAATTCAGCATCAGAGTTGCCTTTCGAAAAGTGGAATTGTGCATTAATTGAAGAGGAGCGTTAACAATTATGTGCAATTCCATATACCCTAATTGTATAGTAATAATGGTTTTAGAAGTCAGTATTTGATCTATTTTATACAACGGCATATGAATACTGTCCAAATGAGAAAACTTAAGATTTTTACAACTGTAGTTACTTTGACTGGAGAATGATAAGAAACTAATAATTCTGCATTTAAATTTCTTCAAGGATCTGTTTTGATGTACTTTGAATAATTCTAGCATGAGAGGCACATTCTACGAATAATGTACTACGCTTAAAATTTACTTTTCTTGCGACGAAAACTCATACACAAGCTGATAAAGAACGATGAGGAATAAATTAATAGTTTTTGAGCAAGAATTTACACAATAATACGATACGGTAACCTTTCATAATTATTTCTAAAAAAGGATCGAATTTCTGAAGATTGAACTTATGTTTTATTGATTTTACATATCTTCTTATCTTCAAAAGACATATGAGTAATAGGAACCTTACAGTCATGAAGTGAACATTTCATTGATAGTAAAATAAATCAAGACATTCAAGACTTACTTGTAGGATCCAAGCTTCGCTGACGCTTAGAATCTGTGCTACTTATAAACGTCTGATTTTCACGATTGCTAGGATCTGCTCCATTACCAGACGCTCTTGGCATCGATGGGTGTCTGGAACACTGCTCTTTTGAATTCTTATTAACCATTTTACATGTGATTTTTCCAGAACCTATTTTAAAATGATTCCATTTTTTCACAAATTGAGTTGCACTTGACTCATTCAAAAATCCATTCACCCATGCATAATAATTTGGACCTTCTTGATTATTAGGAATGTTGATATTATGCTGTGGCATCATAAACATGGCAGCTAGTTTTTCACTATTGATTCCTTTTGGTAATTGGGTTACTTTAATGCAATATAATGTAGCCATTGTCAATTAGCAGGATCTTGTCTTTGTTAGAATGATTTACAGACTGAACCGTTTATCAAGTATCAAGAAATCTGAATATATAAAGTGAGAGTAATTGAAAAGTTGAGGAAACTGTTTTCTTCAGTATTTTCACATGCTACTTATAGAACTCATCGAGCTCTATAAGTACCAGTTTGTTAAAAGAACTTCAGACCGTCTTTTTCAGAGAAAAGATAAAGAGAAGCTGTTTGTCTTTATACCGAGGATGTATGAGACCTTGTAGGAAGATTAGGCTTTTCTAACTGTTTCTGTTCTTTCAGGAGTTCATAAGTAGCGATTTTAGGTTCAGCGTGAAAATCTGCATCTATGAACATTGTTTTCAGGGAGTATTCCAATATATATTGCTAGCGAGTTGTTGAATCTAACATAGCTGGTGACTGTTTTGACGAGTCTCAATTTCTTGTGAAACATGATCTGAAAGGAATGTTGAAGTATTTTGTTTAGAAATTTGGACTCTCCCCCAGACCGTTACAGAGAAATTAATTAATTGATTTCTCTGTTGTGTTCTGTGATGATCTCTGAATTCTCTGTAAAGGTCTATGGACTCTCTACGTAACGGCTTGTACTAGTCTCTACTGACTCCATACATCTTAATACAGACCATGAGAGAGAAGCTCCACTGATCATCACAGATCATGGCCGAAATGCTCCATATATGATTACAGACAGGGGCAGCAAAGCTGCGAAGACTCAGAGGCCGTGGTAGACAGGTTCCAGAACATGAGTTTCATCCCGTTTTACATTTTAATTCCACGGGGATTGCGCTAACAGCTTTTTATTTTTGGACTTCTGTTAGATTCAACAACTCGCTAGCAATTTATTATGGAATACTCCCTGCAAGCAATGTTCATGGACACAGATTTTCAAGCTGAACCTAAAAACGCTACTTACGAACTCCTGTAACAATAGAAACAGTTAGAAAAGTCTACTCTTCCTACAAGGTCTCATAAATCCTCGGCAGAAATGTTATGAGTACGGATTTTATACCAGTCGGTAGAGCCCATCTGGTTCGAATCTGAATATTTTACTGATCGGATATCGATTGATAGAAAAAATTGGGGAAAATGACCCTTCGCCTCGCCTCTTTTTTACGATTTCCAGACATGAAGAAAAATACACGGTGTTCGGAATGACGTTTGTGTAGGATTTCGGAATCAATTATGACAATAGCTTTTTCAAACACTGAACAGAAAATTTTTACTGGAGATTGGAATCAAAATAACCAGACTTTCTCAATGACAAAAACAGAGAGGCTCTAACAAATACGACACATGTTTCGTCAACATGTTCAGGTTTGTTCACCTGTGAGAAAATATAAAGTGGCACTCTCATACAGTGCTAAATCTCAAACTAGTGATAATTTTAAAATCTACATATCAAATTTTAAAAAATTTTTCTCAATCAGACATGCACATAGGAGCTTGAATTAACTTACCCATAATTCTGTACCGTTAAATTCAATTATATGAAAAAAGCATCGTAATTCAGGGAAATTTCACTGTTTGTGTGGTGACTAACTAGTAGATCAGATATCAGATATTTATAAATATTTGATATCTGCTCTACTGGTTATTTTTAATAGAAATGGCAGGTAAATATATGATATCTGATATACTGGTTGGTTTTAATAGAAATAGCAGGTAAATATATGATATCTGATATACTGGTTAGTTTTAATAGAAATAGCAGGTAAATATATGATATATAGCAATTGCTTCTAACTATTCAATGGGGTCCGACACAACAGAAAGGTCGTTAGCATTGTATAAGCCATAAGTTGCTGCAATAAGATCATCATCATCATCATTCAGCAATATCTTATTGCTTGATGCTAGATGCTGTAGAAAACCAATATGATTTACATGAGTCATGAAGAATGATAAATATTCAGTTAGTTTCAATTCTCGATTACGATCTTTGTATGCACTTTAGAAAAAATATTCGCATTTTCGGAATCCTACAGAAAGTTTTCCGGTTTATCACTATAGAAAGCACTTTATAGGTTTCTGGGAAAGAGTTGCAGAGCGGTCGAAAACTCTTAAGAGCAATAAAACAAGATCCTAATCCCTGAAATGCAGTAGACGTTTCTGAAAGTTCAAAAACCTTGGGTAGGTTACCGGTTACTACCCTCGAAATGATTCACAAATCTATATTTGACGTCTTATTCTAACTCGATGCCCCAGGTCGAAAAATCAAACGTAAGATCTTAAAAAACATATGATAATACAAAAAATCGTCGTCTCAGACATCTTGCATCAATTTGTACTGTAGGATTCTTGTAGGATATTATCGTTGTATCGGATTTTCCATAAACTTACAGTAAGATCTGACAGGACAACAAAATCTATCAACAATCTTAGAGTACACAAAAAAAGAATCGTTTTTTTGCCTAACCCGGAAAAAGGTTTCTAAAAGCGTCTAAAGGTGTCACACGTAAAAGAAGCATAAAAAATCTACGAAACCTTTAAAAGTTCTTACAGTGTACCCAGGAAAAGAACCGTTTCCTGGGTACACTGTAAGAACTTTTAAAGGTTTCGTAGATTTTTTATGCTTCTTTTACGTGTGACACCGTTAGACACTTTTAGAAATCTCCGGAACTCGTTTCCGGATTCGGCAGAAAAACGATTTGTTTAGAATATAGGAATTGATGAAAGATGTCTGAGACGACGACTTTGTGTACGACTTGTATCTGATCTTACAATATCATACACGATCAGAGATATAATCATACAAGATCTTACTATCTGATTGTTCAACCTGGGCTTATATCAACTTATTTGAATCCCGAATCCATATCTTCCCTCTTATTCTAAAATCTTGATCTAACCCCTTATTTGATGTGCCTTTTGTATATCCTTAATTTATCCCCTTATCCTATTCCCCTAAGCGTTATCTATCTTCTCCTTATAATCTCTTTATCTAACTCCTTAGACTATGTCTTAAATGTATATCCACACTCTGGGTGATATCTTATCGCCAATTGTAACTTTCACCAAATGACGAACACAGTAATACGAAAATATTTTATTTATTGACGAATGTCATATTAGTAATTTGTTCATCGATGGAAGTGGCCTAATTTTGTATGACTGGTACTAGTACCGATCTGGACAAATCATACAGGGACGGACCGGTACATCGACAATTGGTCACTTGTCAAAATGAAATATTATCTCACAATGAACTTGTAGGAGTCAGCAATTAATATCATGTTGTCGAATTTGGAGTATAACGAGTAACAATTATGTTAACATTGAATTCAGCAAGCATATTTAAGCTTGCGGTTGAGGTGATGCTCGGTACATTAACAGTACAATTAGCTTCTGCCAGTAGAAATGCGGCTGAATGATAGAGAAAAACGATCATCACCATAGGCTTCTCAGGTGTTCACTAGCCTTACTGATCTTACGGATGATGCTTAAGAACAATGTATTGCTAAACTCCACAGAGAGATCTCTTAACTATTGCTTGATAAAGTGGCATATGTGACTTTCTGTGGAAGTGTCATCTCGATGGAGATTTCATATTTTTGGATTACGATACTTATCATTACATAAGCACTGTGCGTTGCTGTTTTTCAAATCTTTTGACTCGAATACAACTTCCACCAATACCAATGTTGGATTAGTTTTCAAGAATGAGAGGATGAAAACCTAAAAGTACGACCGGTATCTGTCTTCAAAAACTGAGCCCAGTTCCATTCAATTTTTGTTAGATAGTATAAATAAAAACAATTTTTCGTTATTTCTTCTCTGAAAAAGAGTACCTGAAATTTTTTAACATACGTTTTCTTGTTGAGCTCGATGAGCTCCATCTAATCATGTGAAAATATTGTGGAAAAAAATTTATTCGACTTTTGAATTACTCGCATCTTATATACAGATGCATTGCATTGAGAGATGGAAAATTCCCAGACAGGAACAGCAACAGACTGGGTTGTTCTTCGATTGGCTGCATCGGAGAAAGGAAGTTTAAGTTAGGAAGAAAAAAATAAAAAAAGGGATGCAAGGGAAAATGAAAATCGATATATTGCAAACTGATGATGCTATGGATGTGATTAACAAGAAAAAAGCGTGAGCGTATTTATTTAGTTGAATTTCCGCTGAAAGAGTATTTAGAGTTGGAAGGAGCGATCAAGAAAATAAACATGATATAGTTTTAATTTTTTTTGTCTCAGTTGTTACAAATTTTTATCGCTCATGTGTTTACAGTGTCCGTGTAAGTTTTAAATTACCATGGAAAAAATTCAAAAAATGAACGGACGAGAACGCGTTGCCGAGATAAAATACTGCGTTGTGAAGACGCTTTTTTCGACGTTTTGAGACACGTTTGTGTAATGAAAAACGGGTTCTTTTAAATAATAAGAACGCGTTCTGGTATGCTAAAAGCGTTGCGTTATAAGAACAGTTCTTGAGTGGAAAATCGCGTTTCAAAGGAGCGCTACAAGAGTTCTCACAAAACGTTCCATAGGAACACGTTTTTTGCGATAACAACGCGTTCTTATTTAGAAGAAAAAAAATCATTTTTTATTATATTTTCAACTCTGTAATGGTCTCGAACACGTTTCTTTGCTATTCGTATAGGTCCTCAGACTGCTGGTCGCTCTATCCGAATACTTGCGTTTGCACTGAACGCGTTCCAATTCGTTTTGATTTACTACCGTAGAGTGGATTTGACCAGATAAATTTGTATCATCGAAGTAGTGAATATCCGAATGAGCTATACTTACGTATGTCTGACGTGTTAAATTTTCTATTTGTATTCAACAACATTTATTCTGACAACGAAATTTATACTTAAAACTGACTCATTTCCGTTTACAAAAAAATTCAAAATTCAAAAATTCATTTAAAGAGCTTTAATTTCTTTTAAAATATAATATTGAAAATTTAGCTTTTTAATATTTTTTGACATTTCATTAAAGTTTTCTAATCTTTTACATTAATAAAAACTCTATACAAAGCTGTTAAAATTCAATTAAAACTCATGTAATTAGACTTAAATATTTCTTAAACGACCTAAATTCATTTAGTGTGATTTTTATCGAATTTAAGTCTAATTAAATTGATTTAAATTGAATTTACATTGTACGAACGATCTTAGTAAATACAAAATTTTTGTTAATTTTAAAAAGTTAAATTCATTATAAATTTAAATCAACAAAAACTAAATTTAATATAAATTAATTAGAAATCAATGTACACTTCTTATTTTTATTATGAGCAATAATAAGTGACCCGTTCGATGGCAAATAAATATGTGATGAATACATTCGAGACAGACACTAGTACAACTTTTGCAAAATTACTGTTTAATGTTTAGAATCAATTGAAACCTTTCCGATTACTATTTTGCAAATAAAAGAAAGAATATACGATTTGAGAATGTACATTAAACAAGCATTTTCTAAAAACGACTTTTCGTAATGATACTTTTGATACTAAAATGTGAAACTAATATATGTGCATTAGCCTAGTTTAGCTAACACAATGCACAAATTGAAAACTTTCTTGTAAACTGTATTTACATTTCAACATAGTTCGTCAGTCAGTTATCAGAACAGTGATTCCCCCTTTTTATTTCTGCATTTTTACAAGAAACATTTTTCTTTATTGTTTTTAGAAATATGCTTTGTTGCTTGCGTTGCTACTATTCTCTCTGAGTTATCATTTTCTTTATTTTAATAAATCCTGACTTACAAGTATGGTAAAGATAAGGTTGTTCTAAATATGTGATTCAAGAAGATCGGAACTGAAGAGTATTTTACCTTTTCATTAGTGGAGATTGAAATTCCTTTTCTCATACAGAAAAATTTATAAACTTCTTGAAGTAAAAAATAAGCTTACAATGCCTCTTGAGAGAATTATGATGTTTTTTCTGAATTAGTGTTTGTCATGTGACATATTTATTATATCTACAGTAGCAGGTCTTACCACAGCACAGTATTTCGATTTATCTAAAAGCAGTGAAATTGATTATTTCTGGAAGAGTTGTCCCTTGCTTTATTCATCTATTTTGTATTTATTAACTGAAAGTTTCAGCAGATCAATGAATCACAACAAACAATAGTTCATATTTTGAATATTTTGTTCATGAAAGTCAAATTACCTTCATACTGTGTAAAATATCAGAGACGAAGTGTACTCATATATTTTTACTGAAGGGTTCGCGAAATTGTATAATATTCTAGAGTAATCTAAGCCTTATTACTACTATCGTTCAGCGTCTTCACTCCTATAGGTGCAGGGCTAGAATCAGGAAGCATGCTACGTTTTGTGATCGGGACAGGTGGCGGAACTCAAGCAACTCTCGCCCAAAATTTAAGCTCACCATTTTCTTTAAAAACACATACCTGTTCCATAAAACAACTAACCCCCTCCCTCCCATTATAGAAGACCCTTGAAGAAAACAATTGTCTGACATAATAGAAGAGTCCCTTTAATTAATAAATTTGTTGCTAATTACAAACTTTAATTAGCGTTTTTCCATCAAAATATGCCTGATTCTTAACATTGTAAGCTGAAAACATCAAGAGAATGTGTTCAAAATTATAATGACACCCTTAAAACCCTCAAAATCCTGGTGGAAATCCTAAAAAACCACCTTGGATTTTTGGAAAACCTTTAAAATTAAATATTAGGAAAAAATGCGGTTCGTAATACAAGACCTCCTAGAAAATTTTTACTCTGGGNTGAGCCGCCGCTGTCACATAAGGACTTGCAAATATCAGTCAACGCCGCCGCTGTGAAAAAAATTTTAAGAATTTGTAGCAGCCGCCGCTGAAGACATTACTCATTCAAATAACGAGCCGCTGGAAATCTTCCAAAATTGAAAATTGTTGCCCGCCACCGCCGTTCAACCCTTCGGCTGACACTTCTAGATGCGAATAATATGAACAGTGAAGAAGAAGAGAAGAGAGAAGCACATGTAAACTAATGATTAAATGATAAGAGTGATTAATGAGTACGTGCACTTTTGAAGGAGTCGTGGACCACGACTCGTGGTGGATGAAATCCGTCACACATAGTTCAGTCAACGATCATTGATAGCCATGTAAAATGTTTTGAGGCACATCGAGGTTTTCCAATTGTCCTTTTTTCAAAACAAGGACCCGATCACTCTGAGTTACTGTATTGAGTCGATGAGCAATCGTCAATACAGTTAGATCTTGAAACCGATGAGCAATTAGCTGTTAAATGAATGTATCCGTTGCAGGATCGACATTGGCCGTTGCTTCATCGATTAACAAGATTTTACTTTGTTTGAGTATAGCTCGTGCAACAGGTACTAATTGACGTTGGCCAGCATTCAACTTAATGCCTGATTCAGCGATAGGCAAGAGAAGACGCTCGGAATGATCAGAGACAAACTTTTTTAATTGTACATCTTCGAATGCTTTCCAACATTGTCCATCAGAATAATGATTGAATGGATCGAGATTTGACTGAAGAGAACCACTGAAGAGAACTGCTTGTTGAGGAATAATACTGATATGAGTTCGAAGAAGTTTCAGAGTGATACGACTGATATCAACATCATCGATGAGAATGTGCCCTGTAATAAGTGATCGATCGGTAAATCGAAAGAGAGCTTGGAAAAGAGACAATTTTCCGGCACCTATAATCAAACATGAAAATAGAATGATTAACAAATGAACAGTTCAATACCTGTTCGACCGATTATTCCAATTTTCTCATTCGGTTCAATGCGCAAGCATAGATTTCGAAGTACAGCTTCACGAGTAGATCGATATCAAAAAGAATAATTACAAAACTCGACTGCACCAAGATCAGGCCAATCTGGTGATGTTTCTATGATTTCATGTTTGCCTCCGAAATCTTCTTCTTATGGAAGTTGACCATATTCATAAATACGTTCAGCACTTGTCATTAGAATTTGAGATTCAATTCCTTGTCGTATACCCCGCTGCATCTATTCAGAAATCACTCGATGCTCAATTTCTTCTTATTCATGCATATACCTGATTTGACTCTTATTTCGGAATAATCTCACTGCAAAAATCCTCGTATAGTGATCGTATAACTCAAAAGAAGAACTGATAATGCAGGATTTAGCTGATCTTTTAATATCAGCCAGAGTAAAGTAGCAATAATTGTGAAAATATTATTTAGAAGATCGAGAAATAAACCGAACCATTGTGAAACACCTATCAAAGCTAAATAGCTACGACTATTTGCATCAATTCGATCGTGAAACGATTTAATGAAATAATCGTTTTTTTTCAAAGCTCGAATTGTCATCAATCCATTCAATGAGGATGCCAATAAACTATAAATGGGGCTACGCGCTATACATTCACGACGTTTTACTTGATGATTTGAACGCGCATAAATAGGTGTAAAACAACATAGATTTCAAATAATGGAATAAGAACAGGAAAAATCCATGGATTGATTACACCAATAACAATGATCGAACCCATACTCATTAATAACGATTGCACAGAATCGAACAGAGTTGCAGGTAATATTTCATTGACTACTTGTTGATCTCGGCTCGCTCGATTCAGAATTCGTCCACGTGGATTACTTTCATAAAATCGTATCGATGCATTAAACAGCGCATGAACCATCTTTTTCTGAAGAGCGTTGGTTCCATCCAAGGTTATTCGGAAGAAAAGAATCGCACTTACTAATGATAATACCATGTTTGCTAAATTCATGTAAAGGTAGATACTAGCGGTGGACCGATTATGTGATCCATTCATCTCGAGCTTGTTTAGGAGAAGTGCAAGTAAAATATTCGCTATTTCATATAGGATTTGTCCCGGTAAGATAAGTACAATAAGAAAAGCAAAAGCAAACCAATCGAAAAACGATTGACTAAATAAGTAAGCCCAAACAGACCAATTTACAGTACTTTTTTTTTTTATAGATGTTTCATCTTGAATGATTGATTGTTGATCAATATGAGATTGATCGACATCCAACATATTAGCTAATGTTGCCGGCTTGATGTTGGTATCTTCATCTATTAGAGGGATATTTTCAAGTTCGACCTGGTATGCGTTTGAAGGAAGCTCACATCGAACGAGACCATGATCAAAGTAAAGTATTTGATCTGAATCAATCAAATATTTCGTTTGATGTGTGATCAGTAGCCGAGTTTTGTTTTTCAACAATCCATGTGGGCCAAGCGATTGATCATAGATCTGTTTGACTACTTTGTTATCGACAGAAGCCAAGGGATCATCGAAAAGATAAATATCAGCATCGATATATAAAGCTCGTGCAAGTGATATTCGTGCACATTGCCCTCCACTCAAGTTGATACCATTATCTCCAATCATTGTCAGATCAGCAGTCGGTCCCAGTGACTCTAGATCTGCATTAAGACAGCACGCTCGTAAGACATTCATGTAGCGTTGCTTATCAAATGGCTGATCAAGAATAATATTTGTACGCACTGTGTCAACAAAGATCCAAGGTGATTGAGATGCATAGGAGAAAGAACTTCCATTTGTGAAGATTTCACCATCAACTAGATGCATTTGACCTAGAATAGCTGCAAAGAACGATGCTTTCCTTGAACCAACATTGCTCACGATACCAACCAGAGAACCAGACTCAATATCAATATTCATTGACGGCAAATGCATTTCATTGTTGTTCCACGAGAAACAGGCATTTTGCAAAGTTACTTTACCCTTTTGTTGGTACTGGTCAGTATCAGCTGGTTCTAATGTTTGTTGTTGACTTTCTTGGAGAAACTGATCGATTCGTTTCACTGCCACTCGAAGTTGAAGAGTTTTTTCAATGGCAATTAGCAAGAAACTGGTTACAGGTGATCGTATAACACCATAAAACGAAATTGCAGTAAAATATCTATCGACACGAACGAACCATTTGTTAACGAAATACCACATATTGTTGCCAACGAAATCAACGGCATTAATGCGAAAAATAAAACTATGTTCAATGCGCGAATAAGAGATGTGTTTCGGATCGTTCTAAATTCCTGTTCACGCATGGAATCGAACCGCTTCTCTGCAAGATCTTCCCAGTTATTCATTTTAACAATATGAAATTCGTTTATCATTTCACTCAATACTTGAATGCGTTTATCGGCACATTTAGCAATGTTATCATGATATTCGCTTAGCGTTCGACTGTAAATTATCTGTACCAATATTACAAAAATAAATAGCAAGTAGCCACACAATCCAGGTAGAAATCCAATAATCAAATAAATCAGATAGAATCCAATTAAAAACTTCGTCGGTACCTCCCATAAGAAATGAAAATATATAGAACAATCCGAGAATTTAGTCGTGTCTGTACCAACCAAATTGATCATACGTGCACTAGTAATTTGTTGCAAAGATATATTCTTATTAGAAAGAAGACGGATGCAGATTAATGATTGAAGACCACGACGAATTTTCGAACTAGTCCGAGTTACACGAAATGTAGATTGTTATAAGAAACTTGGAGATAATATCACACACAGAAGAAATATTACCGGGTACACGTATCTTAGTGAAGAAGATGTTTGATGATCAGTTATGAGCAAAACAATCTGACGCAGAATTAGCGGCACAGCCATACGCGCGAGCATATAAGATAGAAGAAGTCCACTTATCGCCAGTTCCTTCCAAAATATCTTAATAATTGCAATTGATAAGCTGGTTGTTTTCCAATCATAACACAAAAATTTTTGCATTAAAAGCAATGCTGTGTCATCAGTAGGTAATTGATCGAGGTCATCAATAGTTAATGTTCGTTTGTAACCAGATTTGATGACTGGAATGATCAATGAAAAACAGAAAAGATGACCCCATCGAAACCAAGATGATTCTGCCCATTCCAGACGAGATGATTCATGTTTTGTCTCATTTGATCCGTTCAATGAATCACTCTTTTTATCAATTAAAAATTGCTTTTCATTCATTTTGTTCGCCTCAGTGAAATAAAACTTCGCCTAGATATATATTGAATAAATCCTAAAAAGAATAATGTGCGAGAAGTGAATGTGAAAAATAAAACCGAATCCTATTTTCAAAACGTTTTTCGTTGCTTTTCTATGTTGATTTTTGGCAAACTATGTTTGCTTATAATCATAAATAATAGGTTGAGATCCTGACGGTGATATGGTAAATTGACATGCTGGCTACAATCATGACATTTCTATTCGAAAGAACTCGCCCTTCAAAGCAATTCGAGACGAATATGTTTCTCGATTTCAGTAAGTCGAATGGACTGTGACTGAATTTAGTTGCCAGAAACTCTTCTACTACTCTTAAAATAATTTGAACTTACATAAAACGAAAATATTCTTGCAGAGTAAAGCTAAAAATCGTGCTTCATTTTTATTTTGCTTGACTTAGTGCTCTTGGTAGTAGCTCAATTTTGAGTCGATATCTTTAGATTTATTCGATTATACACTATCGATGGTCATTCAATCTAAAAGTATTCTTCATGCACCTCTTCCAAATTCGTAAACTAATCTCCTGATTAATGATGAAGCAGTTCATTTCATTGACTTAATCACTTTAACTTTACTATCTATTTTATCTTGATATTAAGAATAGTTTGAGAAAATAAATATCTCGTAGACTATTTTATTTAAAGGAAAGTTGAACCAAGAAAAAAGTATGACTAGGGGCTCAGCTTAAAAAATACTACTTTCAGTCTTATTAAACATACACTGTCTGGGGGCAAATCTATTGTGAAATTCCTTCGATGACAGATGCCGTGATAAGTTACATTCATCTTAAAACGTTTGAATGCACTTTGAAATTCGATGCATAATACTATCTTTTTAACTCTATGGTTATTTCATATTGCACAGCAAAATCCATTGTGTATATTAAAAAGAATCGAAGGAATTAGCGATTTAATTTCTGTTTTGTTAATTACGTGTGCTAGAAACTGTTATGATTTTGTGGTAGAAATAATAGTTCTCAAACTGAATGAATTCCGAAAGTATTGATAAGAAGAAATTTATTCATTTGAATGATATATTTTCGTATCTCTTATGAAATAATTTTAGTGATAAAAATATTTTCTTACATTACATACCGTATTCGAAATCAGACACATTAATCAATAAAGTTACTGTGTTTTCTTCTTAGATCAAGAAAGCTTACAAAACAAATTATCCCCGAAATAAATTTACATCAACGCTATTCTAAACGGCAAATTTTATATTATACTAAAAGACATAACATATTCTTTTGTGAAATTTTTAACGAACCCTCATGCTACATGACTTCATTAGATTAGCAATTCTTTTCTTCGTTTACTGTATAATAGTGTGGTTAGTATGATTCATGATAGCTAGTCATCACTGAATATTAGTTTACTCGTTTGTATCGCTTGATCACATGTACAAATAGAAACGATGGTCACATAGCGTATGCATTGATTGTCAATCCATGATCGTTGAACAAGACGAATATCGATTCGAATTGCATCGTATACTTTTTTTATTTGCTTCATTGTTGTCGTTACGATACAATGTGATGTTTATTGCTGTCATTTATTTGAGTGTCATATCTTGTTTTAACATCGAAATCGAACAGTTATTTGTTTGTCAATGCTTCTTGTGTCTTATTGTCTAATATCACAGCAATATGGACAGAATTCGATCATGATTTTTCGTAAAATCTTTTTAGAATCTTATTTTAGTTTCATTCGATACAAGAAAATCTAAACTACTTGACAACAAACAAATGAGTTTATTATGTTTGTTTTCATCGCCAGTTGAGAAATTAAGAATGACTTTCTTATGACGATTTCCACAGTTCGCTCATTTGAAGTAATATGAAAAATTTGTAAGGAATTGAAAAATAAAGTTCTATTTCTACGAAATTTTAAATAATCAATTTTTAATCTTCATTGTTCTCTCGTTTGGGGTAGGGTTATTAGTGAAATTCCGGTCGCCATCGTTTTCAATGATTGCAGTCTCCACCTTAGATATGTAGACGCAAATCTTCTCTGAGATCAGCCAAATTCATAGCAATCGTCATCTATGAAAAAAAAAGTATATTATCCAGAGATGTACGTATTTTTATTTTAAAATTTCACGTCATGCATCAATGATTTAGTCTTTACGTATGTCGTAACCCATTAATTTGATTGTAGACCCATGATCTCTTTAATGAGTTCTTGTGCCTTGTTAACGCATTCATCATATTGGGTTGAATCGCAATTCCGAAATATTTTCACTGCTTTCTGTAAATTTTTCAAGGAATCATGGTATTGTTTTGAATTATAGTATCCAATACCGATGTCTTCGTACAGGGTAGCAAGATACTTTTTGTCTATTGGTGGCTTTTTCACATAGATATCTAGAGCCTTTTGAAAATTTTGCATTGCCACCGGATAATTCTCGAGATCATTATAAACTCGAGCAAGACCTCGATATGCTTCTGCTATGTAGGAATCTGTTGATGGTAAACATTTAAGACCGATTTGCACAGCATTTATACAATGAATTAGCGCTCGGGGATAATCTTTTAAAGCACGATAAACTTTACCGATATTTTGATGTATATGACTTATTTCAGGATGATTCGAAGGCTGACATTGTTCTCCAATATTTAAAGATTTTTGAAACATTTTCAATGCTATTTTATATTCGACTTTCTCAAAGAAGATATGGCCCATATTATTGTACACTGCAGCTGTTTGCCAATGAATAGATGGCAAACATTTCAATTGAAGTGTGAGTGCTTTATCATAATAAAGGAGTGCTTTATCAAGATTGTCGCGATTATATTCAATGAGTCCTATATTGTTATATAGTTGTGCGATATCAGCATGCTGTTCGAGTGTTAAACATTCTTCTACAATTTCAACTGCTTCTTCAAAGGATTTCCCAGCCTTTTCATAATCTAATCGTCCCAAATAAATCGTTCCAATATTATTCAATGTTAATGCAATGTCAGGATGATTGACAGGCAAGATTTTTCTCTCAATTTTAAGCGATATTTTAAGATATTTCAACGATAAAGATAATTGTCCTAATTTAAAATAAATCTGGCCGATATTGTTACAGATTTCTGATCGTTGTGATGCTATTGCGTTCGAGTTATTTGTTGAAACATCCAAATCTAATATTTGCAGAGTAACATGAAGTAAACTTAACGATCGTTTAAAATTTCGACGTTCACAATATACCGAAGCAATATTACTCAATGTTCGTGTATAGCACAGAAAATATTTTGGAAATGTTTTCATTTGCAGTTGTAGAGATTGAATGAGATAGCTCAGTACCATCTTAGAATCTTTCTGGGTTTTGAAAATAGTCATTCCGAAATCATTATAAAGTCCGGCTATATCGAGATGATTTGATGGAAGTTCGGCTAATAAGATTTCGTAAAGAGCTTGCGCTTTGTCATATTCTCCCATCTTCTGTAAAATTTTTCCCAGTGCTAAACAAGTTAGAGTTTCGTTCGTTTCGTTTTTTAAATAGTTTTTTAAACCAGCTAATTTTGAATTATCATTTCTATCGACCGAAATCAATTTCACATGCCATAAGTCATCATAGCGTTTATCAATGGATTCTATGCGAAAAATAGCTCCCATGCAAAGAAGTACTTCGTTTTCAGACTTCATGTGGCTTTCCTTGGCGATATCAGCGAATGGTACCGTGTTTATATCCAATTTAAGTTCAATTTCAAATAATACTGATTCAAACAGAGGCCGACGTTTTCCTTCACCGGTGTAGGGCAAGCTCACTGCAGATGAAAGACTTGTAGAAAAGAATGAATTAATTGAAATAAATCCATTGATATTTTTTTGCAGTTTAGAAAACTCGTCAGCTGCCATGGATTGTCCTCGAAAAACGGTGAAAGTGTTTTTTTTGAAATTTTTAATAAATTCTGAATAAAATGTTTTCAGTTGTTGATAAACGTCGATAATAAAAAATCTACATTTGAAAATGTAGATTATATTTTGTGTACGCAGCGCCTTATTAACAATACGATATAAAAAGCTGTCGGTTGCATACCAAGAAAGAGCATTCGAAGGTTTATAAGTTTTTTCGAATTCAGTAATTTTGGTTTGTTGAGAAACATTGTTTTTATATCGTCGACGGCACTCGTCAATGAAGTCTTGTTTTGATTCCGGTGTTTGAGGTAGATCAAGTAGTATTTCCATTAAAATTTGAGACCACATAAATTGAGCTTGACTTTTAGTTAAATCTCGCGTTGATTTTTCAGTGATGTCAATAGAATTTATAACACTGATCGGTAAAATATTCTGGAAAAATGATGAAACATCACTGGTTATTTGTGTTATTAGCTCATGTTCAGTGGCAAAAGCACCGACAACTTTTTTATAATTTTTTTTCCAACTTCTATAATAATTCTCATTGGAGCAATAAAAATATATGAAAATAATTTGAGAATAATCATTTAAATCATCCATGAAATTCCGTCCCAATGCTCCAGATACGATGAAAAATATTTTTTCTTGTTCGATACTTTTAATATACGCAAAACATTTGTCAATATCATTGAATGCTATCAAACAATCAATGACTTGACGTAAATCACGTTTTCTCGTAATGAATTCGCTTTCTGTTTCGTTCATATGTTGATCAAGCCAAACAATGATTAAGTCTTCTAGATCTTCGTTACGCTTTAATGTCTCTTTTGGTATTATTCTATTAGAGTGAGACGAATTTAATGGTCGACATATGTTAAGATTAACCTTGGTTTTACTTCGCTCAGATGTTGTTAGTGTCGCCATTATTGGTTTATATTTTTTTTCTGGATTTACCGATCGGGACATCTCAGCAAGGAGATTTTGTATTTTCGATGCCAAATGCTGTGGTATAAAAACTTTCCCTGTTTGAGTTCGAGATTTTGATGACATATCTAAATAGAAACTACTGTTATTCTCTCAGCTAGAGAAGAAAAAATTTGCATGGGTAAATCTAGGCAATGGGAATTGTGTGCAGCCAGATCAGGATATACTTGGGTGTCACCCAACCACTTGGTAAACTCTGATTACGCTACTAGCAGAGGTAGTGATTATTTTTAGTATGTAAATCATAATGTTCATTTGTGGGGGGGGGGGGGGGGGGG